AAGAGGAGAAAAGAAAGGGGAAGGATTATTATGATATATGAAAATAAGACTTTCAGTTTTTCTTCCTCCTTCTTTAAGGCCCTCCACATACTCTGAATTTCTCACCAGACTGCTTTGACCCCTTGGTACTCAGGCTGAGTTCTTCTAAGTTACTCCCCAAAGACTTGGTTATAGTTAGGAGTTCTTACCCTTTACTGAAGATTCCTTCCCTGAAGCTCAGGGCTTCATAATTAATATAAATTAATAATAATAATAATAATAATAATAATAATAATAATAATAATAAGTGATAGTTTAAGTATAATAAGCTTTAATAGTTTAAAACTGCACTAAGACTTTTGGGATGCCCTGTTTAACACTTTAACTGCTTTATGTGTGTTATCTCTTGATCCTCACAATACTGCAGAGTAGGCTCTATTATTATCCCCATTTTACAGATGAGGTAACTAAGGGCAAAAGTGGTTAAATAACTTGTCCAGGGTCACACCGCTAGTAAGTGTCTGAGATTGGATTTGAACCCAAGTCTTCCTGAAATCATCTAGATGCTCTTTCTAAGGACTCATCTTTAATTGTAATGGAGTATAGGCTAAAATTTTACCTTCTGAAGAAAAGGAAAATTTATAATTTATCCATAGATTGACCATATAATTTTACTAGAGATCATCACTTCCAAATTCCAATGAACTCTTTAGCCATACGACAGCAGGACATTTTGGAAAGAATCATTTTCTGTTTGGGAAGCATTAAAATACTCTGATTCCTTCTTTATGACTAACCCATGTTTTTAAATGTTTCTACCTTTGAAAGTTTCATGTTCAGTTCAGTGCAGAGTTTTATCATCAGATTGCATATTTTTAACTGAGGGTTTTGGCTTTCACAGTTATTATTCATTCATTAAGACTCAAACCTACCCCTCTCCTTATATCACAAGAGAAGCTAGTTTCTTAGTTTATTTAGGCCTGGGATGCTGAATTACAAATTTATAATTCTATCCCTTTACCTTCCTCTCCATTGCCCGTTGCTACTTACCTCTCCTGGATTTTAAGCCTCCATCTGTCCTGAGGTGCCATAAAGTTGTTGGCCCTTCGCCTGTTAATGAAGGGATCTAAAGAAATAAAAATCAAAGATGCATGATTTGAGAAACAGTACAAGATTATAATTCAATGAATCCTGGCACTAACTCTTAGACACCACCCTGGGAGAATTACTTTTTTTCTTTTTTTTCTGGTCTGGATCGATGACTTCACTGGTTAGGAGAATTCCTGGTGGAGAAATCTCACATTTCAGTATAGATCAGCAACTGTATTATAATTTATAGTCAGAGAGTTGCTAGGGAACTGAGACGTAAGTAATTTGTCCAGGGTCACACAGCCAATGTGTGTCAGAGATAGTATTTGATCCCAGGTCTTCCTGACTCCAAGTCTCCCTATCCTTTCTTTCATGGTGTGTCTCAGATTCATACAATTTTCAAAAGTCAGAAAAAAAAAGACCCGGTGTTGATGAATGGAGCCACCCAAATAGCCTGCCTCCAACTAAAGACACAGCCATTTTCTATCATCCCATCAAATTTTCCATCTCTGTGTAGAGTGGGGCAGTTTGAATTTCCCAAAGAAAATTTAAATCAGGTTCTAAATATGTGTTCCTGCCAGAGAGCACAGCCCTCGTGCTCACTTGGTAATACAAATTAGAAAAGTCACCAGAGTTTTCAGACACTGACTTAATTTTACCCAGTGGCTCATAATCTCTTTATTTAGCTATTCCTAACCTTTCATCAGATAAGGGTAGGAATGTATTCTTTACTGCAGGTCATTTAATAAAATAAAAAAAAATTCACTTACTCATTTCCCAAGATTCCATGCTTTCATGGGACTCTGGGGAAGAAGGAAAAAAATCTGTTTTGTATTTATGGCATAGCTGAAATTCATACATACCGATGAAAAGGAAGGGATAGGAGGAGAAAAGTTAAAAAGATATTGGGAATACATTTAGCAAAGTACTTACTGCTAATTTCAGGGAATGAATATATGTGAAGCAGGATTTCTAACTATGTCCTGACTGGCTGCATACTTATTTTACTTGTCTGTCAAAAGAGATGACCACATTCTTACCTGAAGAATTCTGAGGTTCTCAGTTATATGGTCAGGCTAAAAGTTAGATCAGTCACAATTATTTAGAAAGCACCGACTATGTGTTGCATTAGGCACTGGAAACCCAGAGACAAAATGAAAAACTGTCCTGCACTCAAGGAGCTGACATTTTCATAAGGTGGTACAACCAAAGTAAAAACAAGATATTTTGAGGAGCAAGAAAGTTCTATCCTATTGGAATGAGTACTCCTTGGATACAGACCTTTCTTCACCATCCTCAGTATTTAGCATAGTGTCTGGTGTGTAGTCAGTATTTCACATAAGCTTGTTGATGACTAATAATTAGGCCTATTATGGAAGTCTTCCAGTAGGATGTGGCACCTGAGCTAAATCTTGAAGGAAGCTAAGGATTCTAAGATGTATAGGCAAGGATTAGGAGGGGGTGATGGCTTATGAAGAAGCAGGGGAGGCAGATGATGGGATAGTTGGGTTGACAGATCAGCAAGTAGACCATTTTGACCAGACCATAAAGTGCATTAAGTGGAGTGATTTAGAATAGGTCTGGAAAAGTACATTGGAGCTAAATTATAATGATCTTTAAAGGAAACTCTAGGAGCTTGTATTTTATTATAAGGAAAAAGGGAGGAATCCTTGAAAATTCCTGAGCAGGGAAGTAGCATAGATTTATGATTTAGGGAGATTATTTTGGCACCTGTAGGAATGGGCTGGCAAGGAGAGAGGAAGGACACAGAGAAACCAATTAGGGGGCTATTACAATAGCGATGAGAATCTGAACTTGGGTAGTGGTTGTGTGAGTAGACAGGAGTGAACAGGTGGGAAAGATGTAAAGGCAGAATTGATGAGTTTCTGTTGGTTGGATATAAAAATGAAGGAAAAAAGAGTCCAGGGAAGACTCCCAGAAGGTGATGAACCTGGGCGACTTGGAGGAGAGGAAGGTTTAGATGTGATGAAGAATTCCATTTTGGACATGTTGAGTTAGAGATATTCAGGGGGATATGTCTAGGAAATTGGTGATGTAGGATTAGAGAGAGCTTAGGAGACAAGTTTAGGAGCATATACACACACACAAATATATATACACATATTTGCATAGTTATAGCAATTTGATTATGTAGAAATTGATGAGCTCACTGAAAGAATACAGAGAAGAGAGATTAGGACAGAGCCCCAGATCACATAATGTGATACAAAGATACACACAAAGTCCATTTTTTTCCCCTCACAGGGACCTTTTCCAGAATAAAGTTCAGCAGAGTACACACTCAGATATTCTCCAGGTTATGTGGATGCCAAAGGTATGGGCCCACTATAATAGATCCATGAGTGGGTTTGAAGGCCACTTAAGCATCTGTGTTTTAACCAGTAAACTATACATAGCTGCTGAGCATTAGGTCAGTTTGAATAGAGATGCAGGAAAATGTATAGAGCAATTTTGTGTTACTGAGTGTAGAATTAGAGCTGTGAAGAGAAATCAGTTTTGATCAGCTTGTATTTTTTATAATGAGATTTCCTTTAAAATGTTTGTCTAGACAGTAGATGAACAGAGAAGTCAAATCCATTACTAGATAAGTTATTTCTATGTCTTCAAAATGAAGTTGAGAATTAGGGGTATTAGTAACATAACTCAGGTCCCAACAATTTCACCTGAAATAACCAGATGATTAAGTAAAGTTAAAATCACTTGGGTAATTGTCTTACATTTTTCCTTCCAAACTTGCACATTTAGAAGCAGGTAGAGAGTTTTAACAACAGGAGAGGTGCCATATTCTGACATAGAAGGATCATAAGTTGGGAAGGGACTCCAATAAGTCAAGGAGTTGAGCCTTGGAGTGTACCTGAACCACTTCAGGACAAAGATTGAGTCTTCTAAGGTTTTCTAAGGTCACCACTTACCTTAGCTCATTTATGCCAGGGTCTAACTTTCCTAACCCAATCCTTCTCTTGGCTTTTAGTAGGAGAATGTTAAAGTGAAACTGCATGGACAAGTTAGCCTGAGCATTTTAGAAACAGTTTTAGAGAAAGCATCTAGTTCAATGCCCTCATTCTACAGTGAGGAGATAGAAACCAAAAAGAGGTTAAGTGACATCCAAAGATACATAGCTAGATGGTGACTCCATCTCCTTACTCGGTGTTTTTTTACAGCATCCCATCCCTTCTGAGCTGTCATCTAGTTCACTTACATCCTTATAAGCAGAGTTAAGGCTTCCCCAAGAAAGGATGGAGGCTAGAAGAGAAATAAAAAGATAAGCAGCATAGGAGATGAAAAGCACTGAGAAGCAGAAGAAATCTAGGGAAATGAGCACATTTTGAATGAATGGAAATGGGGGATGAAGTCAAGGAGGGAGGAGAAAAGAGAAAAGTCCAAAGTAAAGTGAAGAGAGAGACACAGGCAATGGAAAATTCAGAGAGGCTGAAGAAAGAGGTTTCTTACCATAGCACAGAGCTACCACTGCTAATGCAGTAAGAAGCGTGACGATGAATAACGTCTTCATGATCTTTCCCTTGTCCCTCTGGGTAGCTCTCGCACGTTCCTTTGCAGTGGTGGGGTACAAGGAAGCTTCCTAAAAGCTGCTTATAAGAGCCTGGGAAGTTGAAGCAGTGGTGTGTTTTTATTACGAGAGCTGGAGCAGCTGGGAGGGGAGGAACGAGTGGGAGGGGTCCCAGAGAAGGTGGAGAATGGTTGGCACTTATTTGCACTGGTGCTGTTCCCAAACATTCACTCTTCACAGATTTTATCAGCTGTGGGCCAGAAGTTTTCCCCACCCCCAGTTTTGACCAGTGCTACAAAGGGAGGCTGCCCTAGTACAAAAGTTCTGACCACTGTATGCTTGGAGCCAGACCTCAGGCAAGGGTCCACCGAGAAGGGAGTTACTATAAACATGTTTACCTTTATAATTCCTCCTCTGATATGCCCTCCTGGCTCTTCCCACAATCACTTTAGCTGCAGTACACAGAGCCTATAGTGTTTCAATGGCCCCTCTGATGGAGGAGAGGGAAGATTCCTTGGAATAAAACACAGTTCACATCTCCATGTTAGTTTGCCTCCCCATTGGTGTTGGACTTATTGCAGAGGTCAATTACGTGTTTTCTTCATGACCTGCAACTTTTCCAGGCAAAAGGAGGGAGGACAAATGTTATGCCACCCTGATAAATTCTGCCTGTTTTCTTGGCATCATTATAATAATAAGTATTGCTATAGCTAGCATTGATATAGCATTTTAAGGTTTGTAAAGCACTGTATATACATATCATTTTATTTGATCTTCACATCCCTGTGAGATAGGTGCTATCATTATTTCTATTTTACAGATGAGGAAACTGAGGCTGAGAGGGATTAAGTGATTTGCCCAATCACACAGTTATTAAGGTCTTTTTGACTCCACATATAGTGCTTTTACCCACCGTGCCACCCAGCACCTAGTAATTTACCCATCCTTCATGGAGTTAGTATCATCTTATTCCCTGATATAGAACAGCTAGGTGACACAGTGGATTGGAGCACCAGGCCTAGAGTCAGGAATATCTGAGTTCAAATCTGGCCTCAAATACTTACCTGTTGTGTGACCCTGGGCAAGTCACTTAGCCCCTGTTTACCTCAGTTTCCTCATCTGTAAAATAAGCTAGAGAAGGAAATGACAAACCACACTAGTGTCTTTGCTAAGAAAACCCAAATCGGGTTACGAACAGTCAGACAAAACTGCAACTAAACAACATTTCCCAGTATCTCCCAAGCACCCCCGACCTGGATGACACAGCTCTGAAATATACAGGGCCTTCTTTCTAAACCTGTTTCCCAAACGCATATACCATTTGTATGCTTGAAACAGGGGTTGGAAATTATTCCTTTTTTGTGTTACCCAGGAAGCTTTTAGCATGCACTAATACATGCAACTTGACATAAAATAAGTACTCATGTGAAATGAAGATTAGATTTTTCTGGCATTAAAAATGTGGTTACAAAAAAGTAATATTGAAAAGTATTTATTGTTTTGTTACTTCGTCAGTACAGAGGCAACTTGAAGTGTGTTAGACCACTGGGCCTAAAGTCAGGCAGACCTCAGACACTTACTAGCTGTGTGACCCTGGGCAAGTCACTTAATTTCTGTTTGCCTCAGTTTCCTCAACTATAAAATGGGGATAATAATAACAAATGAGAGAATATAGGTCCTATATTAATTCTGGTTCCCTTCCCCTTTCCCTTCTCTTTTCCTATATGGTCATTATGTTGTCTACCACAGCCTAACCAGTTTGCTTTAGCTATAATATCTGTATATGGAGACATATGTATGTAAACGTGTGTCTGCTTTTGCGATGACCTCTTAATGAAGCTGTGCTATTATCTCTTTTTTTACCAAGAGCATTGGTACTTGTGACTTCTGACTATCCTGTGTTGAACATTCTGGTCTTGGGCAGGTTCGTGTCTTGGCCATACTCGTACTCCCTTTGGACTATGAGTATACTCCCAGAGGTCTCTTGTGAGACCTCTTGGGGAAGTGCTGTGACTTCTCTCCCCTCCCTTCAGACATTCATTCATTTCCAGGAGCATCAATGACCACTGAGAGGAGTTTCATTCTGTTCTTAGCTAATATTAAAGATTCCATAGTGCTTGGAAGGCAGTGTTGGGGATCTGTAACTCCATTGGACCATTTAGAGGCATTGCCCCTTTGGGGAAGGCCCGGGATACAGCTTAGAAGTAACTTACATTTCATAACATTTTCTGGAGCTCCTTTGATACAAAATTCACACATACAGCCCCATCCTAAGGTCTCCTTCAGGTAACACTCAGATATGACCTTGGGGTTGGAGTGACCAAAGGTGGTGAGAGATGGTCAGAGAGAGGAGGAGGAGAGAGGTCTTGCATGTAAACAGAAATGCTCCTAAACTGCTAAACAAATTACCCAATACAGCCTTAAACAGAAGAGTCCTTGTGTTTGTCTCTGGTCAGTTCTGCCACAGTGACCCAAAGACTAGGGCCTTTCCCCTCTTTTCATACCACAACTTTATGACCTTTGTTTGACCTCTAACTCCTTCCCTGTCTCTATCCCTCAAAACAACTCATCTAAATCGTAACACTTTATTAGCCACTCTAAACGAAAAATCTACTTTAGTATTATATGATGAATTTGGGGGTATATACAGGTAGGGGACTTATGGGCATTTGGTTGGGTAACTGAATCCTGCTGGCCTTGACTTAGGACATACATTTGGCTTCTCAAAGTTCTTGCAGGCTTCATAACCCTGTCCTTGGATGCACCAAGCCTTTACTTTGGCTGTGCAATAGCAATTGCACCACTTAAGTTCAAGTTGAAAACATTGCTTCAGTCTCTTGACTTGAGCACTAGTTATTTTATCTTTCCCTGAATCCACAGCTAGAAGTCTCTGAACTTCTCTATCCTGAGGCCCCTGGAGTGTCAGGCCTGGACTGGTTTCTTCTAGAATATCCCTAACTACTTCTTTCTATGCACTCTTAAGCTTTTTCAAAGTCTTCTCATCACCTAGTTCTTTGGAAGTTCAAAATGGTGGAGTCATGACTAGGTAGCCATTTATCTGAAAAAGATCTCAGGATCTTAGAGATTTGGAAGCATAATTTGAGTCAACAGCATGATATGGCATTCATAAAAACTAATGTAGTCTTTGGTTGCATTAATGGAGCCATTAATAATGACTAAGTACCTCGTGCCCCGAGGGCTCTTCCCTCCTTCTGGTGGAAGAGGGGTGGGATCCTCCATTTGAGGAGGGCACCCAAAGCCTTCACTTCATCAGATCCCACCCTGGCTGTCTCTTCTGGACTTCATGATCTCTAGAAACTCAACAAATGTGAAATGAGTTGCTTCTCACTTGAGGTCTTCTTCAAGCAAACTTTGGATGACCGCTTGTCACATATATTATAGTAGAGATTCTTGTTCAAGTTTAGGTTGGACTAGATGACCCCAAGGTTTCTTCCAACACTGAGATTCTGTGTTTTCCTATTCTTGAACTCTTTCTGTTGCTATTATTTGTTATTATCTCCATCCTTCTCCAGGGTATTTCATCTCTCATCCTAAATCCCAATTTATTATTGCGAAGGAATTGCATTTATATTAAGATCACCTTTGTCTCAGCTAAACAGAAGTGCCCTTTAACAATTACTTCAAAATATCAGTAATTTCATAATAATCTCTCCATTCATAGATCTCAGTCCTTCTACACGTTAGTGGTTTTTCTTTATAGCCCTCTCCCTCCTCCAAAAAATCATTGCCTGGTAGCCAACCTTCTCTGAATTTAGTAAGAGTCACTCTCAGATGACATACATGCAGCCCATTGTTGTCTTACACTTGAAGCCTTTTCAGCCTCAGGAGAACATGATCATCATCAGCATAGCTTTCAAAAACCCAGGGTCATCTCCATGTCACAGTAAGGCATCAGTGTATCACGTTAGTGGCATGGGTATTTTATCATTAAGAGTATGAATTGGGTAGGACATTCATTATATTTTTCGTAGGTGGTATTGAAGACATCAGTGAGAAATGTGCCTACTCCCTCAGATCCTCACAGAAACATTCAAGGTGATCCCAACCCTCAGGAATAATAAGTATGCATAGTATAGTGGAAAGGATACTGGACTAGGAATCTGGGACCCCATAGTTCTAGGGCTTGCTTCGTTACTAGCAAAGCACTTTGTGACTTTGGACAAATCACTCAACCTCTCTAGACTTTAATTTCCTTACTTATAAAAGGAAGGAGTTGGATTATGTGATCTTCAAGGACCCTTTTGGCTCTAACATGTTTTGGTTTTATCTTTATTTTGAAGGGCACGTGGCCAGGTGATATAACAGCACTGAAAATGGAAGCCAAGGAGCAAGGAGACAGGCTTCAGTTTATCACCTCAGAGAGGAAAGAACATCCTTGTTACTAGTATCCTCAAAGGTCTCCTGGAATTTAGAATAGAGGGAAGGATTTAAGAAAGGAAGGAGGGAGAGAAGAAGGGAGGAATGAGGGGAAAGAAGAAAGGAGAAGGAAAGAAAAAGAGAGGGAAGAGAGGAGGGTGGGAAGAAAGAAAAGAGGGAGGAAAGGAGGAAAGAAAAGAAGGAAGGAGAAAGGAAGAGAAGAAAGTCAAGCATGCAGTCGAATCACCAGTTCTTAACTCCTATTTAGAAATTTCTTTAAGGCAGCCGGAAGTCCTGAGAGAAGCTTGAAGTTTCCCAATTCTGGCCTTCCTGTTGAGTTTTTAGGAGAGGCTTTGCCTCAAGAGCATGTAGTGGAAATTCTAATGCAATAATGATGGCTCTCCCCTTTCCCCCACCCCAACCACCAAATTCGGTGAGAATAGGAGGACAGAGAAAATGAGCAAAAGGTGCCAGGAGTTATATTGAAAGCAAGAAAAACGGATACTCAGGCTGATGTTGTTTTGTTGTTCAGTTATTTTAGTTGTGTCTGATTCTTCATGAACCCCATTTGAGGTTTTCTTGGCAAAACTACTGGAGTGGTTTGCCATTTCCTTCTCCAGCTCATTTTACAGTTGAGGGAACTGAGGCAAACATAGCTAAGTAACTTGCCCAGGGTCACACAGCTGGTAAATATCTAAGGCCGGATTTGAACTCAGGTTTTCCTGATTCCAGGCCTGGTATTATACCTACTGTTCCACCTAGCTGTCCCTACTGATGATACAGAGTACCTATATTTGTGGCTAACATAAAAATATTAATGGTGACAATAAGAAATAATAATAAGTTCTTTACTTACCCATCAGTCCTATCCTCCTCGACCCCAACCTCAATGTTCCTTTTCCCTACTGCTTTGAGACTATTAGGCATTTTGTTTCTTTGAGGAATTTTCCTGGCTTAGGTCAGATTTGTTCCCATTCCATGAGATTCAGCTTTGTTTATAGAATATTGGTTTTATGAGTTCAGATTATGATTTTACTGGCAGCTCCAAAAGTCTTAGCCTGCCAAGAAAGGCAAGAGTAGAGAAGGCACAGAATGAACCTGGAGTTAAAAACAGAAATCACTTTCTAGGGACACCAAATAGGGAATGAAATACAAGACAGAAATGCAGTGACATCCAAAGGATGATTTAAGCAACACACAGAGGAACTTCTGAAGACCCCTTCCCATTCACATTAAGGGTCCCCAAAGTATTTTTTTTAAAGAGCAGTTACTAACTGCCCAGAAGATTCTGCCTTTTATCCAAGTCCTCCTGTTCAGTCTTTGGCAGGGGTCTAATAGCCTTTGGACAATTCTATTCCATCCAGCGAGCATTTATTAAGTAGTGACTACGTACCAAGTATAATGTTGGGCTTTAGGGAGTACAGACAAAAGTGAAAACCATTCCTGCCCTCATGGAGCTTACATTTTTGGAGTGGGGAAGATACATAGATAAGTAGATATAAGATACATACTAAGTAAATGTAAAGTAATTTCTATGTGGGAGAAGCATTAAGTACTGGGAGGGACCAGGAAAGGCCTGGTATAGGGGTTGGGGGTGGGTGAGACTTGTGCTGAATCTTGAATGGAGCTAGGGATAGCAAAAGGCAGAAGAGAGAAAGGAAAGCATTCCAGGCAAAGGAGACAGTTTATGGAAAGGCCCTAAAGCAGGCAACAGAATGTAGTGGTATCAGTAACAGCAAATGGGCCAGTTTGCCTGTAGTGGAGAGAGCTGAGGAGTATTATACAATCAACTGGAAGACATAGTTTAGAGCCAGATGGTGAAGGGCTTTATATATCAGACAGAGAAGTTTGTATTTTTTCCTAGGGAGCCACTGAAGTTTCTTGAGTGGGAGAGTGACCTGTGTGTCAGGAAAATAAATTTGTCATTTGTGTGCAGGATAGTTTGGAGAGAAGAAAGACCAGAAGCAGTGAGACTAATTAGCAAGCTATTACAGTAGTCTAGGTGAAAATTGATAAAAATCTGAACTAGGGTGGTGGCTGTGTGAGTGGGGAGAATGGGACATGCATTTAACATTATAATGGTAGAAGCAAAAAAAAAAAGACAACCGATTGGATATAGGGAGAGGTGAGAAAGAGGAGTCAAAGCTGACTTCAAGGTTGGAATCTTATGTCATTGGAAGAATGATGACACCTTTGAAAAAAGAGGCAAGTTAGAAAGAAGGTTGCATTTAGAGGGTAAGATAATGCACTCTTTGAACATGCTGTGTTTGATATGAGATGTCCAGATGGAAATGTCAGATTCTAATAATAATAACTGGTGATGGGGAATGGGAATCTAGGGAGGGATGAGAGGTGGACATGTATATTTGGTACCTCATCTCCACAGAAGTGGTGAGTGAACCCCCGGGACTGATGAGATGAGATGAGAAAGAGAGAGAGAGAGAGAGAGAGAGAGAGAGAGAGAGAGAGAGAGAGAGAGAGAGAGAGAGACAGAAAAATAGACAGAGAGAGAGAGACAGACAGACAGAGAATATAGAGAAAAAAGAGAAGAAGGCTTGGGATAGAGCCCTGGGATACCTAAACATGGAGTTCAAAACATGGATTATAATCCAACAAAGGAAATTAAAGAAGTGGTCAGACAGGTAGGAAGAGAACCAGGAAAGAGCAATGCCATGAAAACCTAGGAGGAGGGGATGATCGACAGTATCCAATACTGCAGAAAAGTCAAGAAGCAAGAGGACTGAGAAAAGATCACTGGATTTCACAATTAAGAGATAGCTGCTAACTTGGGGGAGAAAAGTTTCATTAAAGAGGTAACACAGGAAAGTGAGGCTGCCATGGGTTGAGAATTGACTGGTAGATTGGAAATCAAGGTGACTGAATGTTGATGAATTTTTCTAGGTGTTAGGCTCTGAAATGGAGGAGAGAGATAAGGTAATAAATAGTCTGAGGGGATGATAAGGTCAACTGAAGAGTTAATTTTTTTTTTGATTGATAGTTTTTGTTTCCACATCGCCTGCTTTTCCAAATAAATACCTCCTCCTTCATTCCTCACCATGGAGGCACCCCTTGTAACAGAGAATGAAAGGGAAAGATTGGGGTGGGGGGAGAAAAATAGTTCAGCAGAATGAAACCAACGCATCAAATGAATCTGATGGTTTATGCAATGTTCAACGCCCATAGTCCCTTGCTCCATAGAGAAAGGGATTGCATCTTATCCTCTCTTCGATTTTTGTAGTTATTGATGGTACTATTCTTTCTGTATGCTTTGTGGCAGTTGTATATTTTTCCTCCTGGTTCTGTTTATTTCACTTTGCAATCTTCCAATATTTATCTGTGTTTTTATATGAATAGTTTCTCACCTAACAGTAACATTAAAAATCATTCCTATACCACAGTTTGCTTAGCTATTCTCCATTCAATTGGTTTCTTTGTTTCAAGTCTTTTGTGACTACAAAAAAAGCACTGTTAGAAATATTTTTGTGTATGTGAGAACTTTCTTTACGTCTTTGACCTCCTTGGACTGTAAGCCCAGCAGTGGTACATCTGAGTCAAAAGATGTGGATACTTTTTTTTTTTTAACATAATTCCCAATTGCTTTGGTTAAATTGATTGATTAAATTGATTCATGGCTCTCCCAACAGTGCACAGTGTGCCTATCTTTGCACATTCCTTCCAACATGAACTACTATCTTTTGTCATCTTTGCCAATTTTCTGGGCGTGAAATGAAACTTGAGAGTTGTTTTGATTTGATTTATTACTGGTGATTTAGAACAATACTTCATGCAATTATTAATAGTTTATAATTCTTCTTGTGAGAACTAGTTGTTTATTTCCTTTGACCTAAGTGATTTTTTTTAAGAATGGGGAGGTGTTGGCCTGTTTGTGGGCAGCAGAGAAGAAGCCAGTGACAAAAAGAGACTGAAGATTATTGGAGGGGTGGATAATGGAAGGGGCAAATTTCCTGAAGAGCAGGGAAGGAATAGGGTCAAGGGTATAAGTAGAATATTGGCCTTGGCAAGGAGAAAGTCTTGCAGCAAAGAAGAGAATGATGTTGAGGGGCTATGAGGCATAGAATTAGGGAGAAAAGTGACTTCATAAGTAATAGCTCACATTTATATAATGCTTTAAGATTTGCGAAACATTTCTTTGATGTCATGCAAGAGTCCTATGATTTATACAATGAAGCATCCCTTTTCTAAACTTTCATAGTAAGTATGACATTTGTCTTCATAATGTCCTTGTAAATAGTCATTTCTTATTCATCCTGGACTACAAATAGAGACACAGAGGCATAGAGACTTAAATGGTTTTAGACTTGTAGTGGGTTTGTAAGTTTAGGATTAGAAGCCTTTCCCAATCTCTCTTAATTCTAGCACCTTCCTTCTGTTGATTATTTTCCAATTATTCTGTAAGTAACTTATTTGTACGTAGTTGTTTACATGTTGTCTCCTTCATTAGATTGTGAGCTTCTTGAGGGCAGGGACTATCTTTTGCCTTTCTTTGTAAATCTAGCACTTAGTGTAGTGCCTGGAGCATGCTTAATAAATGTTTATTGACTGGCTAGCACTAGCACGTGAGTCTATAATACCTACTGAAATAAATTTTAAAACAAATATCCTCTTGTACCTAACTTTTCCTACTGTTCTCAGGAATTACAGTATCGAAGTCAGAGATCCTCAGATGGAAAAGACTTCAAGGATTATCCAGTCCAACTCGATCCTGAACAAAATTCTGTTACAATATACCTGGCAAATGTTCATTCAGCCTTGCCCCCAAAACCTTAATTAAAGAAATCCTACTACTTTTTGAAGCAGCTCATTTTACTTTTGGAGAGATCTAATGAAGTTATGAAGTTTATTTTTCCAAAGTTAAGGCTAAAGATGCCTCTTTGCAATGATACCAATTTTTCTTCTAAAAATCTTTTCAGGATCACTAACCCTTAAATTCAAAATCCATCTATTTCAGTCAGTCAGCTAGCACTTATTAAGTGCCAGGCACTGCGGTAAATGCTGGAGATAAAAAGAAAGGAGAAAAACAGAACTTTCTTTCAAGGAACCCACAATATAGTGGGGGAAACAAAAAACAAAGATCTGTGTATGAACTAGATAAAAACAAGGTAAATTGGAAATAATCAAGAAAGGGAATGTACTAAGATTAAGCAGGACTGGGAAAGGTTTCTTATGTTAGCCAAGGAAGCCAGGAGTCCAACCCATAGAAACAAGAAACCCCTCTAAAACATAGCTGAGAAGGCTTAGCTTGGAGACTTCCAGGGAAGGGAAACCTAGGACTTCCCAAGGAAGCCTACTCCACTTTTGGGTAGCTTATATCCTACCTAATTTTGCAGCATCTACTTATCACTCCTTGGTCTGCCCACAGGGGCAGCTAGAACAGGTTTGATACTTTTTCTACATAGCCTTTCAGCTACATCCGATCCTAAGTTTTACATGTGTGTATGTATGTATGTATATATATATATATGTCTCTGAGTGTGGATATGTATATATATGTGTGTGTATGTGTGTCTATATGTCTGTGTGTGTGTGTGTGTGTGTGTATATATATATACACACATATATACATATATATATACACATATATACATATATATATATATATATATATATATATATATATATACACACACACATATATACATATATATGTATGGGTAAACATTCAAAGTTATTTTACCAATCCTCATTTGGCATGATGTTGGTTTCTGTCCTTTCTGGACACTCTTCCAATTACCAATATATTTCCTAAAATGTGATGTTCAGAAGAGGACACAATATTCCTGGTGTGGTTTGACCAGAGCAGAGCATAGTGGGACTATTAATCACCTCCTCTATACTGAACACCATCCACTTAAGAGTGAATTGATTTTTTTGACTGTCGTATTACACTGTTAGACCAACTTTGAGTAGCAGTCCTCTGAATCCTCTGTATCTTTTTTTCAGATCAACTGCTGTTTAGTCACAATTTTTCCATCTTACATATTTTATACTTATATATTTGTTATATATACTTATTATATATAAATTTTACATCTGTTTG